TTCTTTTTCCCACCCACCCACCCTTGCTTTTGGGGGTGTCAGTGGACACGGAAATAGGAGCAGCGGCGTTGTGTTCAGTGTGAGTGTCCGTCGGGGGGGACTCACTGTGTAGCCGCAGTCGGGGTTGCGTGTGCCTATGCTGGGCGCAGTTCCGAGGTGCTCGTCCCATTTATTTTGAGTGGGATTGGTGTACATCGCACTTCAGGTGGTATATGCAGGACGCATGTTGTTGGATGTATCGGACCGTTGCATGGTTGGGGGAGTGCACTCCTGGCTGCTGTGTGTGGCTATGTTGGTGCTACGCGCTTCCCCGTTACGTGCGTGACGAGTCTGATTGATTGGTGGATACGCATACATATAATATGGCTTATATGTGGGTGTCCTGGTGTCCGGGTACATGCGTGTTTTTCTGCAGTGCGATGGGAAGGTCAGGGGAACAGAGAGTAGCGAGAGACGAGAAATGGTTTTTTTCTTTGGTGGCCCGGGTGTTTCGCCAAATGGCATTACTAATGTTGATGGGCCTTGTGGGGTTCTCTCGTGGTTTCAGTATGAACAAGCCGGTGTGGTACCATCAGCGGTTGTGGGGGGCAGACAGAGTTTATATGTCTCTGTCTGTTGGGTGGCTGATGTTTATACTGATCATAAGGAGTAGACCGGGGGCGTGTGTGGTGTTGCCCTGCCTGGTCTCCGCTCTTTCCCCCTCCCCCTTGGCGAGCAAAGGGGGTACGCAAAATAATAATGACAAATTTCGAAAGCATCGACAAAAATAAACTATTAGCAGACAGGGGGGTGTACCCCGCGGTTTCGTGAACAAAATGGGGTCCTCCACCAAGCTCCCCTCTTCCAGGCCCCAGTTAACCCTGTTCCTGTCGGTGAAAAAAACCCGAAAAGCTGGGCGCCCTTTCTGAGGACGTGGTGCATGGGGCCGAAGCACTAGAAGGCGGCCACCCGGCGTCAGGCGTTGCGCCCCACACCCAGAAAAAGGATCCCCCATTGTGTGCCTGAACACGCGGGGTAAACCCTATTTCGCCAATTCCCCTTGAATCTTTGTCGCCTGCCTTCAGTTTAGTTCTGCGGAGGTGCGTAGCGTATCGTCGTCTCTGGCGTATTCTACGACCTGCGGATAAGCTGTTGGTTTTGCTCCAACCCCCTACGCCTGATTGTAAATACCATTGTTGACAATTCGTATCTGCACCCCCATTTCTTGACGACCCACGCTCCCCCTACTCTCACATGTTGATATTATTTCGCTGCTGATCGGCAACCCCCAGGCGCAGTCGCCGGGATCTCCGCTTCAACGCCGTTCGACGCGTTTTCCCGGTCCTCTCTTCCACAACGGGCCGTAGTGTTGAAGGAGAAGGCGGAAAAATTTCCTCCCCGTTCGCAATGGCTCATGTTTGCGTGTGTTAAGTACAGTTAATCGTGACAAAACGTACCGCGAAGAAGACCCACAGGAGAATATTCAACCTGCTGGGTTTTTGCACACTATCGAGCAGAAGCTCCGGACACGCTATGGGCAAAGCAAACCAGCAAACAGGTCGCCGACGACGCGGCAATGCACACGAGCGCCGAGCAAGCGTCCTCCTGCTGGGGGCGGAGTGCTGTGGCCCGGGCTGTTGCATCGAGTAGCATAGCAAAGCAGCAGCGAGGAGCCGTGGCCTACACCCGCCGGCACGAACAGAGAGGCGGAGAGGCGGCGGCACATGTATCTAGACTACTGCCCTTACGTACGAGCTTATCCGTATTTACTTACCCATGGTATGCAAATATTCATTTACCGGTCGGGTTGATATTGGCGGAAAAACCGAACCCCTTTTCCACGTGCGCGAAAGAGAGGGGCGAGAAAGAGGCGGGCAGCTACAATGAAAGGTGTACCCCGGCACCCTTTACGTCAACGCCCATAGCTGCACCACCTACACCACAGTCAGACCCACTTCTCAATTCCCTCCCTGCTGAATGACGCATACCTCTCGTAGTTGTACTTCTTGATGGGGAGGTGGCTGGAAGGCATTGTTCTTTCCCCCGCAAAGTACCGGCGCTCTTGTGTTGCTCTGGCTGCTCGATACCTCTCCGACACGACGACTACTCCTAGGCCTTCAAAACCTTCCCTCTTTTGGTCGGCTTCCTCACGAAGCACCCAGGGACAACAATGTGCAACACGCAGAGCTGGCGAGCTGCTACAATCTCTCCGCATCTTTGAGGGGAGACGCGACTGGGGGAGGTGGAGAAAGGTACTGCTCTGTGCTGGCCTGCGGGTCGGTCTCCAGTCTCTAGTTCTTATTAACATCTGCGAAATACGGTTAGCAGTTACAGTGGTTAGTTCTTGTTGGCTGAACACCGGCAGAGCGAACGCGCCGAACTTGGCTACACGTGGGGGCGTGTGTATTTCCGTAAATCATATTATAGCATTCCGTGGGCCAGCGAGGGCACTGATTATTGAAAAATACAAACAAAAAAAACAGGAAAGTACCACGACTTCGCGGAAACATAAAGCACAGCTGTTGGATCGCACCAAGTATCGTGATTGATCTTGGTTGTTGATGTTTTAGGGTGTCCTACACGAATGAACGTGATGTTGTGAAATAACGGGTGAGTGAAAAACAAGTAGCTTGCCCTCCTTCCTAACGCCGTAGTGTTTCGAATCGTATCCCCACAGACAGGCTGTGTCCATCATTGCAGACAAATAAGCATCTCGCAACAAATACAGCTGGTGGTTGTACCCAGATAGATGTGCAACAATACCACTTGTAGTGCCATTATGTGACAGGAAACTATCCCGACAACGTCGTGGGCATGTGTGCGGCTTTACCGAGACAATCCACGTTCACATGCGGTAGGCTATCCAGAGCACTTCACACTTTGCTCAAGAGACGGACACACGGATCACTCGCGCTATGAAAAAACAAGTGAACAACTTGAACCCCGTCACCCCAACATGCGGCACCGTAGAACATCTTCTGGTTTGCCCAAAGATGGCACATGAAATGGATCTGGTCATGCCAGATAATCTCTTTCACGTGGTTTCACAGGCAATATTTGTCGGCACCTCCCACCACGTTCAATGGGCACTACTGCCTGCTGACAAGAGGTGCGAAAGCCTTGGAACCTTGTGAGCACTCTTCGGCCTCCATTTGGGAGAATGACAAGGAACAGCGCACGCTGGATTCCAACCCTTGGAAGTTTCCCAACAACATGGTACGCGTACGTGTACGCCTTCAGCTTCACCCGACGACGCGATTGGCGTCATTTTCCATAATCCCCTCACGCGCACGGCCATGGCTCCCAGGGACGAGGGATCATGGAAAGTCATTGTCGGCAGAAGAAGAATCCTTCAAAACTTCACCTTGTTTCCGAAGGCCACAACCATTCACAAGCACAGTGGTGGCGACGGTTTAATAGAGGGTCAGGACGCCAGTAGTTCTCCCTTAAATCCGGTTTTCTCTTTAACTGTACTGTGAACTGTATGCATTTCTCACGGTCGTGGCAAGCCAGTTTGACTCTCTCAAACCGGCTTTCTCTTAAATAATCTCCCTCAAACTCTTTGTAGCCGTCACTCACTAGCTGTGTTGAGGTTAACAAACCATCGACTTCAATGCGCGACCCGCCGCCTCCGTTTACGGCCTACACGGCCTACGTGTACGTGCTCCTCACACCTCAATGCAAGCAGCGAGCAAGCCTTCCTGTGACAATATCTCGCCCAACAGAAAAACGTCCGCACTCTCACGGGATAGCAATAAGCAATCCTCCCGGGTGGCACGACTGTCCTCCGATGAGCAAACCAGTTATATTAACGTAAACTACACCTCCCGCGCCGGACACAAGGGCAAAAAGTGTCCAGCCTACTTCAATCTACATCCGAAATGATTGCAACCCTCCTTCCCCCCCGGACACAACCTGGCAACAACTACGTCTTTCGTACCACCAGGGCCTTACTCTTATCTTAGGATACACCGACTCAAGACCAAACGCGCGTGCTATGAATACACCGGCTCGTGGCGTAAAGCGCGCTCAAGAAGGACAGCCGACACGGGCAATAAAACACCAGAAGGCAAACCATATCACTCTCATACCCAACGCCGGCAGGAAAACGACCTCTGACCAGCGCTATGTGGCAATCCGATCCGAGCACACCCAGGCAAATGTCCTCTCCACCTTAAAATAGCAGTGTCAAACCAAAAGAAAGGCAGATAAGGAGCACATCATATCTCAAGAAAGATCGCCGGCAACCACCGGCAAAACCACTTGTAGTTTACGAATATTAGTAAGCGCTGCCTCTGTCATGATCTGGCGGAATTCGGTTTCACTCCGCAAAAACACTTTGGCTCGCGTCGACCGCGATACCTCTGTAAGCATAACCAAGAGCCTTGACCGCACCCTGGCGGGTAACTTGACACAAGGCGGACGACCGCCACACACTAGCGAAACAACGGGAAAAGGTATGGATACTGCTGTATACTTCACATTATTCCACAAACAAGAGCGCAGGGTTTCCTGCGAGTGAACAACCACCCCGATACTTAGACGATTACAACCGTGGCGGCAAGAAAAGTAATTCGCCGCACCGATTCCCCCTCGCATCTGTGATACAGAAAAAAGCCGACGCGTTGTCGCAACAACGCTACTCTTGATGTACAAGCTACTGTGGTACGTCGTAGTAGGGCTATTATACATCAACGACATTCCGCTGCTGCTGATGTTGGCGGGAACGACCGCGCAAGCTAGGGCCACTGAGGGAGGCCACATGCACGCCCCCCCCCCCCC